TGCTACTTCCCCGCCCACAGCTGCGATTCCGCACCTGGAACCCGTGAGGGCAGGTGGGGAGGCTCCTCCATCTCCTCTGGGTCCCCAACTCCTTCCAGTCTGACCATTAAGACATTGCGAGCATCTCCGCCCCACCCCCACCGGCCCTGGAGGTTGCTTTCCCTAAAATGGGCCTGACGTCCTCCTTCGGGAGCGGTTCCTGGGCCTTTGGGAGCCCCTGGAGGGGTTCTCAGAAGCACACCCCGCCTCTTCGCCGAGGAAACAGCGTGCGAGGGCGATCTTTTGATCTGACCAGAAAATTAACCCGTCTCTCTCTGCCTTGCAGTGCGTTGCTGACTTGCCATTCCAGATCCTCTGCGCACAGAGGGCAGGATCTGAATGTCCTTCAGGTGTGTAACCTCACAGTCTCTAGCACAGCAGGCGCTCAGGAAACTAATAACCCAAAGCATTTGAGCTTCAGTAGTCACTCCGGGTGGAGGTTGGAAAGAAGGAAGAGAAACGGAGGGTCAGAGAGGCTTAGAGGCGTGTCCACTAGAGGAGGAGCTAGGACGAGCCCCAGTCTCGCTTTTTTTACTGCTCTTCTCACCGAATTCCCAGCCTGGTGAATGAATGCCTTCTGAGGGAGGGCCTCAGGCACATCCTTGCATCCTACCCAACAGACACAGACACACTGTAGGTGTGTGTTGATGGCTTTTCACCCACACCCTCCCAATCCATAGATTTTGCTTTCTTTTTAAATTATTATTTACTTGTTAGATTTGTTTCCCCATAATTCTCTGCTGGGCCAAGAGAGTTGAATGGTTGGGAGATGGGAGATGTTCCATCTAAGGGAGAAAAAAAGATTTCTGCGACGGCAAAGAAAAATAATGACTGGATATTTATTAGCGTGTGTGCTAATTGCTCATGGATTTCCTGTCTGCCACCCCAATACCCAACCTTAGTAGATCCTTTTTACATTCACCACTGCTGTTTGAAGATAGAGAGAAACCTTCTTGTTCTCCTTCTCCATCCAACTATAAAAGTATAAAGTACTATAAAAGTACTGCTTGTATTTCCACTGTCCTCACAACAATCTCTTTGTGGTTATGTTTCTTTTTTGATTTTTTAAAACCGAAGGAGAACAGGAGTTGGGTGATGAGGTAGTTCTGGTTGCTAGAAAAGTTAGTGTAATATACTGCATTTCAAACTATTTGTTACTAGCAACTCGGGATCAAAAGATAGACCAATCTTTAAGCTAGGAATCCAATATAATTTGGGAACTGCAGTTCAAAAATGTGCCACAGACCAAAGGATCTGTATTGGTAAAGAACATACATGCTAAAGCAACACACATCACAATCATAGGAGTGAAAGTTGAAACAGTTATTCGGCCAGATATTTTTAAATACCTTGGTTTGAATATATAGTTACTTACCATATCTTTAAGCTGGCTGTATTTTACATTTTAAAGCTGCTTTGGGCTACATTTAGATAATCTCTACCAATAAGGTCTGAAATTTTTTAAGCTAACTTTTAGATAATGTTATCATTACTAAAAGGCTTTAAGTGAATTCAGGAGGTGTCTTGCTGGAGGGAATTCTAAAATACTTAAAAGTTGTATTAAAAATATGTTCTAACGTAAGTGAGAATTTGAGTTTAAAAGTGATTTTGCTTTCCAAATTTAGGGTATATACAATATCAGGAGCACATAAGTAGGGCCATTAGATAAAGAAAGTAACATACATTATTTACAAGTCGATCATTCAAATCAGACACTTATTGAATATCTAGTTTGTGCCTGTGGGAGATGCCAGCCTATGTGCCAATATCTATTCTTGAATTCCCAATGATAAGGGTTTGTTGAAGTAGTTAGTTGCTATTCAGTATTGAAGGAGTTATGTTTTGTTGAAGATGAATGTCATGAATATTTTCAAATATATAGCTGAATTGACACTGTAATGAGATACATCTTTAGATTGCTCTTTAACAAAGACCTTTGGAAGTACCACATAAGTAGTAGTAGTAGTAGTAAGACTTAACACAAATTATAGCTAGTTAATGGCAAAGCCAGGATTAGACTTCAAGACTTCTAACACCCATATAGAGATCTTTGAACTAGATCATGCTTTCAACTACTAATGCAGTGGTTCTCAACCTTCCTAATGCCGCGACCCTTTAATATAGTTCCTCATGTTGTGGTGACCCCCAACCATAAAATTATTTTCGTTGCTACTTCATAACTGTAATTTTGCTACTGTTATGAATCGTAATGTAAATATCTGATATGCAGGATGTATTTTCATTGTTACAAATGGAACATAATTAAAGCATAGTGATTAATCACAAAAACAATATGTAATTATATATGTGTTTTCCGATGGTCTTAGGTGACCCCTGTGAAAGGGTCGTTCAACCCCAAAAGGGGTCTTGACCCACAGGTTGAGAACCGCTGCACTAATGGAATCTTATTGAGAACTTTTATCATTGCTACTAAGAAAATATCTTTCATTTTAATCTACATTTGTAAAACACTAGAGGCCCGGTGCACAAAATTCATGCATGGGTAGGGTCCCTAGGCCTGGCTGGCGATCAGGGCAGATCAAATACCACCCCCCCCCCATGCCTTCCTGCCTCCCAGCCTCCTCCTCCCCTCTCCTCAGCGCCTGCCAGGCCACTGGTTTCCCACCATGTTCCATGCTGCCCCTTGGTGGTCAGCGCATGTCACAGTGAGCGATGGAACTCCTGTTCTCCCGGTTGAACTCCCAAGGGGGACACTTTGCATATTAGCCTTTTATATATATAGATTAGCTAACAAACATCAGGATCCATTCCAAATGTCCAGCAAAGTATTAGGGCAGAACTTTCATCCCTCCCAGCCTCCACAAAATTATGGCACAAGTCATTAGGAAGCTTCTGGCTATTCATGGCTCCACAAAGTGGTGAAAAAAGTCTTCAGGAGCTTTCTAGATATTGAGCCAGGATCCTGAGACTGCACAGGAAAGGACATACTCATTGGGGAGGTTATTTTGCAGTCAAGTAAAGCATTACAGAATTACAGTATATTGACGAAGATGGCTACTATATGTCCATTTTTACTAAACAGGCTTCTTGCTTTTCACTGAGAAGCATTTGAGGAATATTTTATGAAACATTTTCTGAAAGAAAGTGATTATGGAGTAGACTCTAAAAAGGCTGGAGATCTGAGTCTTCAAACCCAGCCTCCACAGCTGCCCTCACTCCATGGCATGTTATGGAATGCCCAAACAGAGGAAGCCCAGGTGGCCCCAAAGGTCACACTGAGAGTAAAGGTCTTCATGTCATTCACTACCTGCACAATTTTGCTAAAGTCTTTTAAAGCTGTTCATTACTTTTTAAAAGTTCTGCTGGGGTATGCTTCTTTCTTCCTGTCAGTCTAAGTAGCGATCTCGCCTATTCTATATTTTATAACCAAAGGCCAGGTAAAGTGTCATGATCAGAGCAGGCACTGAATAAATGTTTGTAGTTACCAACAAACAGGTCAGGTGTCCATTTGTCAGGAAATATTCTAAGTGAGACCTTCCTGGAAGATGATTCCATTACTTTGTGAATGTTTTTCTAGGATTCTCACCCTTTACTGAGATAGAAATCATCTGGGTGATCAGGAACTATAAATCCTTTTAAATATTTACGAAAATCCTCATTGTTTGTGGAACATCATCAAATGCAAAAGTGCATGTTGAGGTGATGTCATTAACTCATTGCAATCCTATATAATAAAAGTTGAATATGCAAATCGACCAAACATCGGAATGACTGGTCACTATGACGCTCACTGACCACCAGGGGGTAGATGCTCAATGCAGGAGCTGCCCCCTGGTGGTCAGTGAGCTCCCACAGGAGGAGCCCAACTCAGCCAGAAGTCGGGCTCACAGCTGGTGAGCGCAGCAGCAGTGGCAGGAGCCTCTCCCACATCAGCGCTAAGGACCCCTTGGGTATGACTGCCAGCTATCCCGGAGGGGTCCGGACTGGGAGAGGGTGCTGGCCAGGCTGAGGGACCCCCTCGCCCCCACAGTGACAAATATTGTGCACTGAGCCTCTGGTGCAACTAGAAAGCACGCAATCCAATTGGCTTACTAATTTTCTGGAAAGGGTGCGAAACAATGAATCTTAATATAGTTTATGCATAAATCATTTGGACTTAATGGATCCACATTTTCACTCATATTTTATTAAAATCCTTTGCCACGGGCTGCAGTTAGGTAACTAAGTATACATGAGTCAGAGAGTTGAAAACATTAGAGCCAGGTAACTGAGGTAACTTTTCGAGATGAGGTCATTTTTTCCTCCAGCACCAGATGGGTGCTGCAGGTGGGAACCGTAACACTTTGATCTCTTCCATATGACTCGGAAAGAAAATTAGAGGTTAATGTTGACGTTTGTTTTAACTTGTAAATGAAATATTTTATAGTAAAAATCACTGTTAAATTGTAAGCTACTGTGAAATGAAACACTTGTCAGCATGCTGTCTTTTTGTGCAACTGTCAAGTTAAAAATTCGAACTCTAAAATAGAAAATAATATGAAAAGTTCAACTCTGTATCTGAAACAAAAGAAAGTCATTTTTTTTTCCCTTAGCTGGCAAATTTTTGTGAACTATGATGGTACAGTGACACGTTTTGGTTTGTAGCTCATGGAATTATCCTCACACTTTCCTATCTGAGAACACAGTTAATCTACTGCCCCTGCCTCAACGGATTCAGTATTTCTGTTGTGTCACCTTTGTGACTCTCAGTTGGCAAGTATTGCAGTACATTTGAATTCACATATACCCAAATCGGTTAGAATGTAGAGATGCGCAGACCTGGCTAGAAAAGTCTC